CAATCAATGACCCAGGAAAAAATGGATAAAGGCTTGGACAATTTGCAGAAAAAGAAATGAAAATGGCCTTTAGAGTTACAAAAAGATGCTTAACTTTACTCATTGATAAGTGCAAATTAATACTACATTGACATACCATATGTCATCTATCAGAATGGCAAAAATCTGAGGTGTGACTATAAACCCTACTGCTGACTCGTAGATGAAAGCATATTTTAATAAACTGCTGGTGAGTAACTGAAACAGTATAGCTATACAGGAGACTGTGACAATATCGACAATTAAAAATACTTATGTTTTGATACAGAAATTCCACTTTTAAAAATCTACCCTAGACATACTTGTGTGAAACGATATAGGCACATTTTTCATTTCACATAATTTATTTGCAATTATGTCCATCAAGAGATTGGGCGTATAAATAAATACACAACGATGCACTTGCAGCCTGTAAAAAAGGCTGATGAAGATCCCTATGTATGGACACGGAATACCCTCATACCTATGATTCCATGCATACAGGTGCGTTTTTAGGTCGTAAAAACAAGGAGCAAAACTGTATATGACATACCACCTTGTTTGTAAGGTGTGGGAGAGAGAAGAAGAATCACACTTATTTGCTTACATTTGCAGAAACTAAAATAAAAATGGACAGAACAGAATGGCAAGGGGACATCTCTGAGTTAGTTTTATGAAGAGAAAACAATTCCCAAAAGTGAAAATAAACTAAAACAAATCTGACTGCATATTGCATATTGTGTTGGTAACATAGAAAAGAATTCTTTCAAGTGACTTTAAAACACAGTGTTTTGACTGTATATTCTTAGTGAGATTTACTCTAAATCAAAAAGAACTTCAAGGAAATGTTAAACTTTATTAATTATTGACCATCGTAATATTAATATTGCTGTTCTGAAACTATTTAATGTATCCTGAGGGTAAAGGTAATAAGCAGTTATGTTGATATTGCTAAAATCAAAGACTTCCTATGAGCGACAGTACAAGTACAAGCAAAAAAATACAAGTTTACAATCAGAGAAATAGTAATCTGAATTCATGACTTTAAAAATACGTATTTTATGGTTCTATTACTAGAAGGAAAGAATGTTATAACGGTAACTAAAAGCAGCTCTAATGGCCAGTTTTCGCCTTGATATGCATTCCCTCATCGAAAGTAACCAGACTCTCTGAAGAAATGGCCTGTTCCAGACTATGTACTAAATAAGCCTGGAACATACTGTGTCTAAAAGAAAGAAAGCTTTTAAAGGCTAATGAAACAATGATACAACCTTAAAAAGAACCAAAATAAAATGAAATATAATGCTATTACCCACATCCCAAGGAAAACATGGACTCTCACCATATCTATAGCAAAAAGGCTGTTGTCATCCCAGATATCTACTGAAATTGCCTCACCAATAAGTATCACATCCTCTGCAAGCAATTCCAGAACTCGTATTACCATCTGTCTACTACCTAGGAAAACAAACAGAGGAGAGAGAAGGGAAAAAGTGAACTTTCCAATAAACAGCTGAATATTATACTGCTCAATCCATAGTCATGCCCCCAAATTCCCATTTCTCTTTTTTTTTTTTTGATGTCTTTAGACTTGTTAAAGAGATGAATAGGGAAGTCACGATCCACAACTACCATTAAAGATGTTGTTCTGATCATAAGAGTATTTAACTACAGCAAATCAAATGTGCTCGTAAGTGGGAAAGACGCTCAAGAAGAGAGCAGCAATAATCTAACTGAAAGTATTCTGAGATAGATTAAAATAATTGCTCATATTCGGAGACCATCCACGTTACATATAACACTCACATGTGACAAAGCACCAGGTCGGTCAAAAATGCATTCTAAGAATTTCCTACTTAGTACTGGAGGGCGTAGGTCTCATCATAAGCTAGTATTTTCCCANAGGGGACATCTCTGAGTTAGTTTTATGAAGAGAAAACAATTCCCAAAAGTGAAAATAAACTAAAACAAATCTGACTGCATATTGCATATTGTGTTGGTAACATAGAAAAGAATTCTTTCAAGTGACTTTAAAACACAGTGTTTTGACTGTATATTCTTAGTGAGATTTACTCTAAATCAAAAAGAACTTCAAGGAAATGTTAAACTTTATTAATTATTGACCATCGTAATATTAATATTGCTGTTCTGAAACTATTTAATGTATCCTGAGGGTAAAGGTAATAAGCAGTTATGTTGATATTGCTAAAATCAAAGACTTCCTATGAGCGACAGTACAAGTACAAGCAAAAAAATACAAGTTTACAATCAGAGAAATAGTAATCTGAATTCATGACTTTAAAAATACGTATTTTATGGTTCTATTACTAGAAGGAAAGAATGTTATAACGGTAACTAAAAGCAGCTCTAATGGCCAGTTTTCGCCTTGATATGCATTCCCTCATCGAAAGTAACCAGACTCTCTGAAGAAATGGCCTGTTCCAGACTATGTACTAAATAAGCCTGGAACATATTGTGTCTAAAAGAAAGAAAGCTTTTAAAGGCTAATGAAACAATGATACAACCTTAAAAAGAACCAAAATAAAATGAAATATAATGCTATTACCCACATCCCAAGGAAAACATGGACTCTCACCATATCTATAGCAAAAAGGCTGTTGTCATCCCAGATATCTACTGAAATTGCCTCACCAATAAGTATCACATCCTCTGCAAGCAATTCCAGAACTCGTATTACCATCTGTCTACTACCTAGGAAAACAAACAGAGGAGAGAGAAGGGAAAAAGTGAACTTTCCAATAAACAGCTGAATATTATACTGCTCAATCCATAGTCATGCCCCCAAATTCCCATTTCTCTTTTTTTTTTTTGATGTCTTTAGACTTGTTAAAGAGATGAATAGGGAAGTCACGATCCACAACTACCATTAAAGATGTTGTTCTGATCATAAGAGTATTTAACTACAGCAAATCAAATGTGCTCGTAAGTGGGAAAGACGCTCAAGAAGAGAGCAGCAATAATCTAACTGAAAGTATTCTGAGATAGATTAAAATAATTGCTCATATTCGGAGACCATCCACGTTACATATAACACTCACATGTGACAAAGCACCAGGTCGGTCAAAAATGCATTCTAAGAATTTCCTACTTAGTACTGGAGGGCGTAGGTCTCATCATAAGCTAGTATTTTCCCACGCAGGAATTACCTGGGAAGCTAAGCTTGTACTGGAGCAACTAAAGTATATATATCCATGCTGGCGTTTGCTGAAGAAACATCGAGAAATTCCATCTGAAACAAGCTCTCAAGCCTATACTCACCTAAAACTCTACAAAAAGTCTAAAAGAAACTGCTGTGAGTCCCACCCACCAGAGCCACCTCCTCCGTACACACACAGAGTACCAAAGGCATCCCACAGTCCATACTGCTAAGTGAGGCGAACGTTCAATCAAGGCCTTCCTGTCCCACATACAAAGGTCAATTTCTAATAACTAAAAGCAAAATAAACCACCAGATCATAAGGCTCCAGATTAATTGTGTCATTAGAGCAGCTGGAGAAAGTTCTTTTAGAAATCGCTTATGATATTGAACAATTACAAATTATGCAATAATTTACCACAAAAGGGCAAGAGAACATTTAGAAAATTTAATGTACCAAGGTACAGCTTTATAATTATCAATCTGACTTTTTACAGCAAATTAAGAAAAGGTTAAATGCAAAATCATTAAATCTAAAAACGTTCTTCTCAGTATCCCATGCTGACAAACATATATATATACTTCATGATGACAAGTTCAAATTTTCCTTCCCCACATTTTTAGTATGTGTACTTATACTCCTAACTCCCAGAGGCAGTGTTACTGAGAAGTCGGGGTACACAGCTTTCCTCAAGATGAAATAAATCTTAACGCTCCCCAAATAAATACCTACCTCCTGTTTTCTTCCCTAATCCCCTCAAGGAGGACTTCAAGAGCCATTCATTTCCATTCAATGTATTTTTTACTCAGCCAATATGAACGGAAAAAGGCAAAACTCATTTATCTTGCATTTCTATCTTGACAAGAATAAAAATCATTAGTGTTTCCAAATCTTTCTTTCCCTTCAAAATGCTAAGTGCTCAAGATGGACTTTGGCTTCGGAGGAACCTTGGCTCAACTCTCTGTTCTGAGCTGTCTGACTTTGGGCACGTTGGGAAACCACTCTAAAACTCAGTTTACTCATTCGTAAAATGGGAAAAAAAGCAGAAACTATCACCGATGGGAGGATAAAATGGGCTGGTGTGAGGAGTGCATGAAATCACACACAGGAAACCCCGTACAAGAGCCGGACACGGCAGGAACGCAACGCATGGTAACCGCTGTCTGATCACTAGGCAGCCAGACGTCGGCCACTGTGATACATTCTTATCACCCTTTACTCGTGTAACATTACAGCTACAACCCAGTGAACAGTGCAATACAGCTTTGCAGTTTTACCTAGCACGTTTAAAAGAAAATGTAAAATGTTCAAGTTTTTTGAATGTAGTTAATTTTATGAAGAATCACTGCAAAGGTAAGAATTCGGTTGTAGCCTTTGTTTTTAACACATTTCATAGGCTACCAACAAACAAGCGGGAAGAACGAGGAACTCAGAAAGCTTCTAAAGAGCAAACGCCAGCCTGCCTTAGCCTGGTCTACTCGTGCTGATGCAGCTTCTCTAACCGGCTGCAGCCGCACGGTCTTTTCAGAGCTTCCATTTAAAACAGCCACAAAGACATGAAGCCCGTGCAGAAAAAGCCAGAGATGGAGGCGGGGCTTGATGTGGGCGGTGCTCCATGGCGTCCACTTTCGCTCAGAGATTAATGAACACCGTGTGACGTTCTTAGGAACTGCTGTCCCAAAAGGTAAGTGAAGACGCATCCGAAAGGTCCTAACATAGAACGGTGGATAAAGAAAAATAACGAGTCCTAGAAACCACAAAACAAACACCAGTTATAGCGAGAGAACTATGACGTCAAAACGCAGTAACCTGTGAGGAGAGGGGCTGCTGCTTCCAGAACGCAGACACAGAACTGCGGGAGGCTGAGCTGCTGGAACTGCAGCTCCAGCGTGTCCTCGGCCTCCAGCTCCGGCAGGTCTACGTGCGCCATGTCCAAGGGCGAAGGGACGGGAATCCTGGCGTCCACAGGCGCGTGGCTGCTGCTCCCACTGTGAGAAAAGCAAGGACAGGTCTGGGCTGTGGCAGCAGCCCACGCACAGATTCACGCGTGCCTGCTGCCTGGCCCACGGCAAGCTCTCCTGCTTCGTGTGACGACTCTGGTCAGGTCTGTAGAAACCCTGACACACTTATGAGATTAAACCCATAAAGATGGCTCAAAATTATAAAGGAAACCAAAACTGCATTTGTATTTTGCTTTTCAAACTGATGATCTCGAAATGTGTCACCGTTCCCACAGCAGCAATCAGCGGTCGCACCGACCACCCATTCGTGTCCAAAGCAAGCACACTCATAGCAGGGTTCTTCCGTAATCAACGTATAAAGGTGAAGCTCAATAGTTTCTACAGTTGCCTCAACTTTCTGTGACTTTCAGCAAATATTCTCAGCAAGCCAATGATAACAACTGAGGAATGCTAGAAAATGCCAGAAAAAAAGCATGATGAGAAATGGGTTACTTTATTTAGTACCTTCAACATCACATAATGATTTTGAAACTACATCAAAAAATGGACATCCCATCCTTCCTGGCTTTCTTCATAAAACTGTTTTCCCTGTAAAGTGGTGGGGCGGGGATAACAGTGCTACCGAAGGCCTGGGACCTCACATTTACCAAGAACCTAAAAGTTTGACTTTTGATGTCATCCACAATTGAAGCTGAGTCACAGACACACTAATGCTATTATTCAGGTAGGTGGAATCCCCAAAATGTAATGTTCTGTCATTTGTTCAATTTTAATATACCAAGTATCCCACAGTATGAAAATGAGCCGAGCGTCTCTCACTCTGAAAGGCCCGTAAGGAAGTTGTTCACTCAGGAATGAAAATTTACAAACAGGTAGCACACGAGGCAGAGCTTAGAGAATGAGGCAGGAAGGCTTCGTAAGTGAAGAGAAAGCCCATGTCTGATGCCCGGCAGCTACCACGAAGGGTCAGGAGCTAGGCTCTCAGCTCATTCTGTCCACACCCCGCCCTGCTCTTTGCCAACTGCGGGCACTGGGGTAAGGCCCGTAGCCCGTCCACACCGCAAGCCTGCCTGTGAAATGATAACGATAATAATGCCAATCCTGCCACTGGAGTGTTATGAGGACGGCTAAAGGAGATGGCAGCACCTGACGTGACTCCAAGCTCACAGGAAGCAGGAAGCAGTGTTACTTTGTACAGTGTCACTGGAAAATGATCAAGCCAACACATATTAGAATGACACCAAAGAGATTAACGTTTTTAAAATGCTTGTAGCCCAAGGATAAGGCCACACATACCATGCCAACCCCTTTAAGAAAAACTGATATATAAAAATCTGTATTTACACAAACAAGGAAGTAAAATACCATAAATTGTACATTTTGAAGGCGTCTTTGTTTTATAGGTTCTCCAGTCACTCCTTCTAACAGTAAACACTGATGCATTCAAATTGTGATTAGACTTACAAAAATGGGTTTAAAATATTATCAAAATGTATCTATCACAGCTATAATTTTAAACTAGATCACATTCATTTTGGAGCTGGTCAAAACAATGTAATGGGTCAGAATCATCATTCCTGTTTTAATGAAATATTGTATGTAGAATGGACAGAAAATGCCATTTTCTGCATAGCACATAGAATCGGTGCTATGTTGCAAGCATTTTGTTCTGGTGGACACGCACTTGCAGGCACACGCGGTACACACACATTCACACTCATACACAGAGAATGTGTCTGTGTACTGGGGACTGAATTGCAATGTAATATTTATTTCTTGCTGTGGGTCATGGTCAAAAAAGTAAAGTCGCTGGTTTAACACAAGGCTGAAACCTGTGGTAATGTTTCAAAAGAGAAGACAGAAAAATAACAATCTCTGTCAGAAATTAAAACACACAAACAGGCCGGCCAAGTGGCGTGTTATTTAGGAGTTGGCTTGGGACACCAGCTCTGAGCAGCAGGGCCC